GTGTGTGTGTGTGTGTGTGTGTGTGTGTGTTTGTTTGTGTTTTATGTGTATATTCTAGTGTGTCTCTTGCTCTGTCTCTATGTGTGTGTGTGATTGTGTGTGAGAGAGTGCGTGCGTGTGTGAGTTATACTTGGCGTGCACTCACTGATGCAAGTCGTGTATATACAGCTGTGCATAAAAAAATTATATATCGATTATCACTCGTGCAAAAGCTACATTTCCATTTCGGTAGCCAGAGCTCAGTAAAGTGATGCGAAAGTTCATCTCCGACACAAACAGCACGAATACGCATACCAAGAAACTCTATCTACCTATACTATACACCGCCAATATTTAGCTCGAATACGTACGAGCATAAGTCAACACACCTTGAGGTTCAGCAGGTGTTCCGTCATGGGCCAGACTCAGTAGCTGTGTTAAATCTCTCTGTAGCTTGAGAAGCTCAGCATTTTCCGGATCTGCCTCTAGTGCGTATTGCACTTGTTCTAAATTCGCTCGGAAGCCTTCTATCTCTTTCTCGGAGAGTGACATTTTGAGTTGTAGCTGGTAAGGAACGTGTTGTAGGTGTAGGGGTGTAAATGTTCGTTTGGTCAGCAATCAGCCGAATACAATCAAGCAACTCTCCTAACGTAACTGTGTGAAGTGGCGTGCGCTGCCCTACATGTGCATAGTCTGTAGTACTGCTGAGTGTTTTAAATCACTGCATGTCCTGCACTCCCGTGTATTTTTTAAAAACATAAGTTATAAAAAATATATTTTTGAGTATTTTGTCTATCTATAAAAATGCCGCTTTCGTATACTGAGATTAACACGCGTCAGCTGAATCATGATGCGTATATATATACATAGTCTCTTGTCTGATTTACTAGAAGGCTATGGTGTATATATATATACGCATGTATTGCTTATCCACAGTGTTGATTAAGCTTGCTGTAGCGCTATATAGGCATGGTTGCTGCCGCAAGTATACGTACATTTGCAGCTATAGTCTACTAACTGTGCTATTGCCTTGCACGAAAACACGCGGCGATAGTAACTATAGACACATATTACACTGGTATATAGTAACCATAGACACATATTACGCTGGTATATAGTAACTATAGACACATATTACACTGGTATATAGTAACTATAGACACATATTACACTGGTATATAGTAACTATAGACACATATTACACTGGTATATAGACTATAGACACATATTACACTGATATATAGTAACTATAGACACATATTACACTGGTATATAGACTATAGACACATATTACACTGGTATATAGTAACTATAGACACATATTACACTGGTATATAGTAACTATAGACACATATTACACTGGTATATAGTAACTATTGACACATACTACACTAGTGTAGAAATTATTTATACCAATCCTTAACTTAGATCAAAATGGGATGGATATCCAATATATCGCTACTGAGAGTTTTGCTGACCAAGGTCAATTGCGTACCACTTCTCAGGAGGATACCATGCGGCATAGTAAACAGAGGTCGATGCTTAGTATTTGCAGAATTCATATCTTCACTATACACTGACAGTATATAAGCGTATCATAAACCACACACTGTGACAGTATATAAGCATAGCATAAACCACACACTGTGACAGTATATAAGCGTATCATAAACCACCCACTGTGACAGTATTTAAGCGTATCAATTGTACATATATTGTGTCACTATATCTACTGTATATAAGCGTATCACAAGCTACAACTGATATAGTACGATGTGAGAGAAATAGTTGTCTCCGTCCACTTGTCGGTTTCTCGTAGTACAAGTAGCGGTCGGTTGATTGCATTGCATGTCTCTCCTGGTGATTGATATGATATCATGAATTAACGTTCACTAGCATGTATGTTGAGTTGTGGTATTGTGCGTTTTAGATGGCTTGTAAGATATACTTGGCAAATCTTCTCGTTCCAGTCTATCTCTGTCGCTGGAAGTTACGTGTGTGGGGGATTGTACGAGTGCGTGTACATATATTGTGTCACTATATCTGTATATGATTGTACATATATTATGTCACTATATATCTATATATGATTGTACATATATTGCGTCACTATATCTCTACATACATATTTGACTTTGTCTATAGTGCGTCGCTGTCTGCGTATAGACATGCCAGAAAATTTATAGGAATGATCGGTTTTTTGGTGTGTAAGTGGTATGTTGTATGCTGGTAGTCCGTCTGTGTCTGGATATCGTTTGCTGATGACTGTACTTATCACCTACGTGTGGTACGAATGTGCATATATTCTGTCGATTATACTTATCACTTACGTGTGGGGCGAGTGTGCATATATCATATCGATGATGTATTTGTTCTTCTATCGTGTGCATTCCACGGGCTTACTCAGCATGCCCACTGCGACAATTCAGTGACACTGACAGTACGATCTCTCCGCTGTGTGTATTACTTCTGAGCTTTTAATTTCATTACAAGCTTCCGCTGTCTATGATACTTCTGAGCTTGGAAGCTTTAACTTTATTGTTGTTTCCTGTCTCGACGATATACAATACTCACATGCGGTTAGCATGACAGCCAATCCCGCATACCGTAGCCATTCTCTGCCATTCAGCATCACTGTATTGCATCAACGGAGGGGATGCACATAGATAGTATATGCGGGAACGAATACGTATGAGTGTCGATGAGTGTACGTAAATTCACATGTAGATATTATATACGTAAACGAATACGCATGAATGTCGATGAGTGTACGTAAATTCACATGTAGATATTACATACGTACACAAATACGTATAAATGTCGATGCGTGTACGTACCTTCACACGTGTACACACGCAGTGAGCTGTATCTCGCGCGTGCGGTTGCCTTGACGTTAGCATTTCTCCTCCGCCTCTTGCAGCAGAGCCGGGATCTGTGCCCTGTCCACCAACCCCTCCAAGAACAACTCCCACTGCATCTGCATCTGTGGGTCGCACAGTAGTCCGTGAGATATCGCCCCTCTAGTTCATGGTCAAAGGCTAACTTGCAGTCTTTCAACGCATCGATGAAGTTGTCTGCCAATGACAGGTCTCTGTCGGTGACTGGTGTGGCATTGACAAACAAGTCACACGTTTCACCGTTGAAGAGTTTGACGTTGAATTCATGCGCGCGTTCCTCCGCGGCCTTGCGATTGCGACCTGGTAGGAAGGTGCGCATTAAACCCGGTTTGGCGGAGAGAAAAACTCTGACAACCCGTAATCGAGATACATCTATCGTATAATCAGGGTTTAGATAATATCTATCGTATCTATCGTATAATATTTCCTAATTCTTTCGGGTATCTCGGTAAAAAACTTACAATATAATGTTCACGAATAGTGCCTTGTGTCATATGTTGCTGTTCATATGTATGTCCGTGTCATATGTTGCTGTGTATATGTATGTCCAATATATAGTTCACGAATGCTCGAAAGACAAGTATCGCCATCTCAATGTACAGTACGCCCACGCAACGTAATCACAAACATATTAAAGCACACAGCACGGATGCTAGAAGTGTTCGCATGCTCACGGCGCAGATCACATTGCAACAGAAATGGCAAGTCAATAGAGGCACAAACAACCGACTTTCGCTCAACGACGTGTGCAGTGACAGTTATACAGTTGATGACCTTGCTAGAGTGCCTCTATTGGAAGCCATATCCTCCGGCAAATGCCATATATATATATATACATATATATATATATATATATATATATATATATATATATATATATATATATATATATATATAATATATATTATATATATATATATATATTATA